CGCCCACCTTCTGAACCCGTACTCTGCCCTATTGAACCCGTTCCTTCTCAGCCATGAGCTTGCCGCTCATCTCCCATACGATTGGCGATTGCTGAAACGACCGCTCAGTCGGAGGCCACTCATGGCACATATTGCAAAATGGGTGTGTGGCGATGGTATACGCCGACTGAGGCCCTTGCTCATGACATTCGAGACCTATCTAGGATGCCGCATCTCCGTGCTCATCCTTGCTCTGTCCATTATTGCTGCAGCGCTCCCCGGTGAAAGATCTTGTCTGGTAAATGGTTGACCATTTGAGCGAGGACGATGTCTGACGCGAAAGTGTCTAAATCAGATTGTGATCAAGTTTCTCACTGTGCGTGGTTGCACTTCCCTGTTTCTCCCACCGTATTGACAAGATGTCGCATGCTTCCCAGGTTTCTGACTCTCTGGGGGTTGTCGCCGCTTCAACATTGCTGTCGATACGAGTGTACGCAGATTCTATCAGTCGAGAGCCGTCAGACATAAAGAGCTGAGCCTTGTGTCTACACTTACAGCGGGGCCGTTTGGAAGTGGGAAAAGAAGGTTGTCGCCGTCATCATGACCATGTGGTTGACAATCTTTGCCTTGGTTTTGTACTGTGAGTCTTGAATATTGAATATGCGCAACTACGCAAACTCGGAGTTAATATTTCGCGCGAGGGCCCTATAGTCTCAATTGAGGTATCGCGAGTCCTTCCTTCACTTCATGTACCTGGTCTTAGAGTTAATCTCTATGCATGATAGGTGGGATCGGTATACGATCAGACTCTGCAACAGTGTACCTTCAGTGCTCTCCATAGGGGCATCGTTCCCGCCATCGCTACGCTCGTCGGAGATCTCTTGCTTCTAGCTCTGCTCTTCTTCGGATTGCAGAGCAAGTGGCGCTACGCTCGACAATTTACCTTGTGGCAGATGCTTTGGAACCAGGTGAGAGATCCCACCTGGAGACTGAGGTATGTTGCACGGATCTGACCAACATCCAGGGCCTTCTGTACCTTTTCCTTGCGGCCGTCATCGAGTTGCCTGTTGTGGTACGTGTTTCGACTTTTGCTCGCAAATCCTATACTCACGCTGATCGGGCACAGGTGATGTTATCCTTGGATATCAACGGTAAAGCACTCAGCCCAAGAAGTGAACACGTCCTCACTCATCTTTCTCTGCAGCCGTCTTGAACTCAGTGAGCTACACCTCTTCCGCCTGCAATGGAAATGGTGAACAGAAACTCGATCAGGTACTCCTCACACCCGAAGGTCAGTCCAGATTGCCATACAGCGTAGATATGACGTATTCAATCGCCTCCCAACGCCTAGTCTTTGTACTGTAAGCACATAGACCTGTTTGCAGACACAAAGCCTGATGGATATTAGTGGTATAGGAGCAACTCGTATGTACAGGTCTCTCAACTCCACCAATCGAGGCGGAGGAAGCAACGCCGAGTGCGTCTTGACGGCCATGACCGATACTACCACTGACAAGGCCCCAGGCACTTCACCAATGGGACATCGCTTAAGACCGAACGTTCACCACCCGTCCAGCTTCAGGCTACACTGCCGGAGCGATCCAAGGTTGGGTCAAGGTTGGCGTCGGCCAACCTTGAGCCGATAGTCAGATCAACACCAAGCGAAGTTGCTCTGACCGATCCGGCGTTAATACCGGATGCTTACCCCTCGCTCAATGGCGCACGCCCGCTCTTAGCCGAGCATAGGCCCCAAGGTTGAGCGAAGGTCCAAGGCTGCCTTGAGACGACAATGGCCGGCCAATCTCGTGGCAGGTGTAGAATGCCAGGCTGACCCAAATACCATATTCTCCCTGACTTAAATAATCGTACCAGAATCTGATTATTTATCTCGATTTTCTCTTGATTTCGTTATTCGCACAGGTATCCTTGCGACAGGTCGGGAGCAAAACTCAATATTATATTCAGGTATAGGATGGTACAGCGGACGACTATCTACAGTACAGACAAGACAGGAGTAAACAAAATCGATGCAAAAAACTTCGGGGCAGTAGACGTAGATTCATATTGCAAGCAGTACTTAGCGACATTACCTATTATGGACGGCTTCAACTGGTGTGGGGTAGCGACCGGGATCGAGCAAGGACGAGGACGTTATTGTATGGCTGACTTGAACCGCGCGGCAACCAGGTTCGTGCCCTAATCGCGTGGACTTACCGAAGCAAGCTGAATACATCACGACGCTGCACATGGGACACGTCAACAAACTGTGGAGCTGTCAAGAGAGATGGTCACGTACCGAATACCCGGCATCCTTCATCGACGTCGACGGTGCTATTGCTATAGAGCATAATCAATGTGCACGGCAGTCGGGAGTAGGGAGGTGGCTGAGCAGCGAGGGGAGCAGGCACTTGGTGGATCGGTGGTGGGAGGTGACAAGTCGTTTTGCCCGAGGCGCGCGTCGTCGAGCATCTGTTTCGTTGGGGTTTCTCACCCTCGGCCGCGGTCACTTGGATCCGCTGCACGCGCCGTTTGCCTCTGACGCTCAGCGCTCACTGTCGCTCATCTCTCGCCTTCGCCTTTGCCGTCTCGAGAACATGACGGACTGACCTCTACCTTCTCATATCGTGCTGTAGGGTTGGTTCTGTCACAGGCTGCCCTCGAATGCGAATATCCTACTTGCTACCCGCAATCCCATAGATCCCAGTGCCACCCCCAGCATAGGAACACACGATGTGTAACCTCAGGCGAAGGGTACTAGAACCTCCCAAGGGACAGGCATGGTGACTGTCAGGATAGTGCTGGTAAGTACTGGAGCTGAATATTTCTAGTGCTTATTTTGACCAACGATGCTGCAGATCAAAGAAGTCTTATCACGCACGCAATAGTTCGCAATGTCGTACGCCAGCATCCTATACAAATTGCTACTGTCCATGCAGCCTGGTGTATCAACCCTCTTGG